TATATATATATATATATATATATAAAAAAAACATCAATCCCAACTGATTCCTTCCTAACCTGTTACAGGTCTGCTTAAAGCTAAAAATCTCGACCATAACCAGCTAAACAGCATCTCTCTGACCAAAGACATTCTTCAGCCTTACTTGGTTTGATTTGACCGGCAGCTGATAATGACTAATATCACGTAATGTCCGCCAACATAAGACTGAGATTCTCCTGCCTTCCTAAAGTCAGTTTTTTCCAAAGACCCCGGGAATATTTTCAGTCAGAGTCATGATAAATATTTCTATTGACATTTTCTCTCAAAACCTTCTGAATTTATTCTCTCTTCCATCTACACAACAGCTGTATAAAGGTTTTGACCTGCACTCTGAAATGTACCACTCCTCCATATTTGGCGAATAAGATCAAAACATTCAACCTTGATTTCATCGGACCACAAGTTCCATTTCCTGTCATGGGAATTAACCACATGCTTGCAACATTAAAATGTGCCTTTTGGAGAAGAGAAATCTTCATGCCGCTGCCCCGCAGAGAGTTCAGAAGTGTGCAGAACACATGAATCTCTTGCTAACTGCATGTTGTGGACAGACTCTGCTATATAGTCCTTCAGATATTTTTAGCTTGCTGCTGGCCTCTTGGTAGTTTTTTTCTTTTGAGCTTCCTCTTTATAAGTGTCCATCATAGGAAGATGACCTGATCTACATGTGGTCCTCATGGTTCTATAATTCCTTCCATGACATCCATCTATGCTGTGTTTCAGAGAAAACCTTCATCTAATTTTTTACCTTTTTTTCCCCCATCTGAAACGTTACTTTTTTAGCATGCAGGCTCTTTATGCTTATTAACTGCACTATTTTGACGTTGGAAAATCAGCTTTTTCTAATCAGAATGAACACAAGCAACACTGGACCGTACATCAGCACAAGTCTCAAAAACAGCAGACAAAGCAGAAGTAGCCCATTTTTGCATAGACAAACAGCAGTCATTTGTGTCTAAACTTTAACTGCAATTGAGCAGAATGAATGAAAAGCAGTGAAGATTTGTGTGAACATCCAGCTCAGTAATCCTGGTTTGTGTCAGAGAGACTGCTAAATGCAGGTGCAGAGCCTTTCAGATGCTGCAATCCAGCAAGCTTTGCTGATCTGCCGCAGCCTGACCTTCACGAGTGTCACATTCAAAGGGCGTAAAAGAGAAACAACTCATCGCAGCAGGATCAGGCAACCCTTAAGGATTCTGGGTAACTGAGAAGATCATGTAGGCTAACCTCCATACCGTTAAGATGACTAAAGGGAAACCAAATGAAACACAAAGATATGTTTTTCTAGTGTCAGTTGATAAAGGTTTAGAAAATCGTTACTGCTCTTCAAACTGATTGCTATTGCAATACACTGCACGCAGTTACAATAGTATCACAATACAGCATGATATCTGTGTAACTAAAGAAGAGCAAACAACGTTAAAAAACTGCAAAAGCCCGAATTGTGATGTTATTCAGTGGCTTCTTCACATTTTCCCTCCGTGAGTTTTACTTCTAAACCTCAAGTTAGTTAACTTTTTTGCAAGCGGCACCGTATCAGTTATAATGCACCAACTCTGAACAATAAAACTGGAGGAACAAGTTGTTTTTTTTTTATACAATTATTAATACTGGCCTGCACATTTATATTGAAATCGTGCTGAAAGAGGAAACTCAAGAATACAACATCTGGTCCCAACTCGCCACACGGTCAAGACATTAAACAAAAGGAAGACACGCCACCTTTGTAATAAAAGTCAGCAACGCCCCCCCAGTCCAGAGATTTTGATCTCTGGACCTCAAAGTATTTGAGTGACTGAAGCCTTCAAGCAAATCCTCACATCAAAAAGAGGAAAGTTGGAATTCTTTTAGCATGGCACCTAGTTGGAATGCTATGATGAGCCCAGAAAAATGTGACAACTTTCTCTTCCAAAAAAACTAGAAGGAAAAAAAAACAAAAACAAACACATGCACATTTATAGCAAAAAGCTTGACCAAGAACAAGTAAACATAAACTGAACCACGAAAACAGTTTCAAATGCAGACCTCAATAATAAGAATAAAAAAAAAAAATATATCAAGCATACTTTTTCTTCTTCCTGTTTTTAACTTTCTAGTTTATGTCAGTCATGTATAATACAAGGTCAGACAGCGCCTGGATCAGCCTGTCTCTCTGACACGTTACCTGACATCACCCATCACCAGTCACTTGGCCTTTTCCATTTAACATCAGTGTACTTGCTGACCTCTATATAGACTTACTTTGCAAAGCAATACATTCCCTTTGTCAATCAAAAGACATCCAACTTGCCAAATCCATGTCTCTCTAAAGCTGCATTGGAACAAAAAAAAAAAAGCAGAAGAAGAAGAAGAAGAAGCAGCTGGCCATCATGGTACAAGTAACCTTGCACCAAGGGTAGCCTTTGTGCTTAGCAAAGGGCTCAGATTGTTCCTTCTGAACAGGAGGATGACTGCAGAGCACTCAGTAGTAACATTTGGTCCTTTTTTTTTTGCACAGATGATAATGACCGAGCAGATTAGGAAGGGACAAGCATTAATGGTTATCTGCTGTGTGGCTGCCGTCTTCAGGTTGTCATGGTGAAAACTAACCAATAAGAAAAAAAAATACAAGTCCACTTAATATGCAGCGTTGACACTCTTTTAAATCTCGTGAATTTGCGTTTTAATCACAAGCCTGAGAGATATTTATGTGACCTTCAAGGCTGAAAGCAGCAAAACAAGGGTCTGGTAAATCCCTCAGCTTGAGCCTGCTGGGTGTGAAGGTTAGATACCGAGATACCGAACACTCTTACACAGACACTTTCTTCATTCCTACAAACGAAGCCAAAACATAAATCCCAACTGATTCCTTCCTAACCTGTTACAGGTCTGTTTAAAGCTAAAAAGCACCAAAATATATATTTTTAAATAGCTAATAATAGAAATCAGAACCCGGGAGATCAAGTAGGACAGCAGATTAGAAGATAAGAAACAGAAGCAAGCAGACACAAACATGGCTCGAGTCCTCTGCCTTCTTTTAGTATAGTCACCTCACTTGGCTGCTCTCTCGTCTCTCTCTCTCGAGGCTGACAGAATTATCTTCTGCATCAGAGCTGAGGCTGGGCCAACGCTCAGCACAGAGGACTCCATTTCACACAGCCAGCCCCACAGTGGCCAAGGAGACACGCAGCCAATCACGCTGGAGAATCAGTGGTATGGCCATCCACCATTTTGTGCTCCTCAAGGTCTTTGACTGTCCTGCTCAGCTGAGTGGAGCTGCCTCTGCTATCTTGTTACACAGATGGAAGTGTTTAACTTTAAGAGCGCAGACCTGAGCAAGCTGCTTCCCCTCCTGTCGGTTCCTCTGCACGCTGTCATTGCAGTCAGCGAGAAAAGCAGAAGTGAAAAGTGTGGTTTTGTGAACTGCAAAGATGGCCTCCTGCGAACCTGCCTTTTGCTGTTCTTCCGAGGGTGAAGACAAGAGCCCAGATCTGATTGTCGTGCATCTAAAACGTGGCTCCTTCGACCGCCCGGTCGAGTACACTTTAGAGGCGATGTCGCGTCCTGAACCTTCTGCGAGCGACATCATACTTATATGGGCGACCTAACGTGGTCTAATCAAGATTTCCATGAAAGAGGTTAGAGCTTCTTTTCTACACTGAAAAGCATAAGAGAGGAAAACTTGGGGCAACCCTCAGCAACACGATTAAATATTCCATCCAAAAATGATTAAGTGCACAATTTAATTAATAGCCTCAGGCGTGATTATTTTTACAATTTTATATGGGAATAAGTAGATATTTTTGGTTTTCTCGAGAGGTTTCTTCCCTTGAGCTTAAAAGAGAAAAAAAAAATCCTGACAAAAGATGTATGTGTACACAAGTTAGTGCTTAGAGCAATAAAAAAAAACAATAAAAAAGCAGTTGCTCTGCACAACACACACATAAGTCAGACACATGAGCCCGAAGACATGCTTGAGTCAGATCTCTCCAAAGTGAAACATGAGGGTTCATGGGCTAAACAAACAAGAGTGGGGCAAGTGAAGGACAGATCTTGGAGAGAAACCAGGAAGTGTTTTTCCACAAGGACAATTAGGTCCAGGAAACCTTGCATTCCGTGCAGCCTTGAAGCCCATCTCTCCTAGGAAACCATTTCCTGACGTAAATCAATCCACTGCTGTCTCAGATAAATCGGCATCATCTCACAAAAATTGTCCATAAATGACCCCGAAGTTTTGCTCTTGAGGTACCAAACTTTACAATCGAGGGAAATGTTTAGTATAACTGAAATGCCTACTTACTGTCAGGAGAATTACCCTCAGCTGGAGGCTGAGGCTGGAGGCAACAGGAATTTTACTCCTGTTTTTCCATTTTACACATCAAAATGTCTTTTGGTTGTATTCTATTCGCCCAATTCACAAAAAAAGTAAGGAAAGGGGGGGGAAAGGATTACATGAAAGGACTGCAAGATGCACTGAAGGGTTTCTTGTAAGTAGTGCTCAGTGGACAAATGCCAGAAAAGCTTGCAATGCTGACTTCCTTGTAAGCCTGACATGGCAGTTACTACAGTTACAAGGACTGGGTGAGGTTACAAGCTAGCCAGGATGGAGTGTTTCACAGTGACCATGAGAGGACACAGGAAGAAGCTGAAAAAAAAAGGGGGGGGGGGGGGGGGGGGTCAGAAAAATTCAAAAGTCAGCTGCAAACAAACTCTGTGAAGGTTCAAAGTTTTTTAAGAAGAAAAGAAGGTAGGTTCCTCTCCAGACCTGCTAAACCAACCTCTTGAGTCAACTCAACAAGTTTGAGAAGGGAAAGATGAGACCCATCAATATTAACTTACCACTGAGACCTCCTTTCCAAGCTCTTAAATATTTAATCGTCCTTGGACAGTTCTGTTGCTTCGGAAGCTGAGCCACTGTGGATCCCATCTACAAGACCACTCCTGTTTCTGCTCAATGAAGGCCTTGTCTGGTGGCACCACACTGCCCAAGGAACGGGCGTCTCCAAAGAATTTTTTTCTCCTTTTTTTTTTTCCTTCCTCCCCACCACAGGCAGCTCGAGACTGACAGAGCTGGTTCACTGTGTCTTAGCAGAGAACAGCACAAATCCTGAATTTAGGCTGGAAACCTGAGGACGCTGTGTAGACTGCTTAATTTATCCCACCAGACGAGCTGTCTCTTCAGCACGGCCACTTTAGACCTTGAATTTCAACAAAACGAGTCCCTCGCATGCCTAAAATATGCACGCTGAAAAGATCAGCAGATCTAGATAAAGGTAGGGCACAACTGCAAGCTTCACTGAGCTACACAAGCATTTTTTTCTCTTCCTCGGGACACAGTTGAATTGTTGATGTTCTGATGGAAAGCAGAGAGGAGGAACCAGTTTTGCAGCAGTATAACGTCGCAACTGACAACAGAAACTGGAATGACACCTCTAAGAAGCTACTTCCTTGTTCCACTTAAACCCTGACATGATATTGCCTTTTAGTTCTTCAAATATACCCGCTACAGTTAAACAGCATTAAATTATTCAGATGGGCAGAGCAGGTTTGGGCATATTGTAAGAGCATGCATGTGTTTGGTGGCTACTTATGAAGGCAGGAAGGTCAGGAGAAAATAGTGAGGGGTTTTTTTCCCCCCTTGCAGCTGTGCTGTGATGACTGTGGTGTTTTGGATCTACACTTGCAGCCTGGCCCTGCTGCTACACTTGCATCTTGTGAGCCATGCATCACGTCAAGAAAGCACTCACTGGAGCATTTCAATTTGCTTTTGTGCGTCTCCTTAGCCTTCTTCAGTGCCCCAGGTAGAGAAGAATGGAGACGTGCATCACCCAGTGTGAGTGAGTGAGTAAGAGATGGAGGGAGGGGAGGGAAGGACAGAGAGAGCAGCTGTATGCATGTATGTGTGTTTGTGTGTGTAGAGGGGGGTGATGAGCTTCATGACCACTTCCTCCGAGCATTCAAACCATCACAGAAGTCTCTCTTGTTTGATCCTCCGTCCTCTCTGTCAAGCTTTTCTAACATAATCCTGAAAAACCTTGCAAACAAATCCAGTTATGTAATTCCTCCCCCCGCCACCTTAAAGCTGAGCTATGGTAACACTGAGTATTAAAATTTTCTTTCTATGCCGCGCTAAAATTCAAACAGTTTGATACGAGCGTGCGCTACATGCAAATATTCAGTCAGACAGAAAGTGGTCCATCAAAAGAATAAAATAAAACCCAAAACACTACTGTCTGCTGTACCACATCACAAGTGAGAGGGGGACCCGATCAGAGATGATCTTGATCTGCTTTTCAGACCATTTATTACTAAACAAACAACAGCACTGCCCAACTGCCATTCTCCACTTCAAACTTAATGCAAATTAAGGCAACATTCGCTGGAATTACTACAGGTCCTGGAGGTGTAGTCTCTTTAGAACAAACAGTAATCGAGCAGTGGAGGTCACAGTGTCACGGCATTTGGTCGGGACTTTCAGAATAAAACAGGAAGAGTGAGACAACAGGAAGAAGGGAATGCGCATTGGGACATTCAGCGATAGCCTTTCAGTCCAACATGATGGTGCACATCTGCTCGTGTCATCACATGACTTCAGTTAAATCTTAGAAGATCATTCAGAAACATGCAGCTCAAAGACCCAACACATGTGCTCCCACACAGCCCTGCCCCAAGGTTTTCTGTACAACACTGGTGATGATTACACCAGCAGAGAAATGCTTTTGTAGACACGAAGCGAGCAGAAGAGTGAAACACTAAACAGAGCAGCGGAAAAGTCCAAGATCAAATTTGAGTAGAGCATTCTGGCTCTGTGAAATTCTTAGTTTAGTCTCAGAAATACAAGCAGGAAAGGGGCACAAGATGTTTCCTCTTATTTACAGTCTAAATTCCAAGCCTATTTTGTTTACCAGCACACTAGTTTCCACTTACAAAATACATATTTCCCAAGGAGAGATTGATTTTCTTATGGCCGTTACAGATAGTGGCCTTCCAGGCTATGTAAAAATACAGGAGCCACTTTAAGGACCCTGTGTTGTTCAGTTTTTAATTCATATGTGTGGCACATATACATGTTACTGCCACACATGAGTGTCATTTGCCGAATTATAACAAAGAAATTCCTACAGGGAACTTCAGGGGCCCTCACAGAGTCCAGGGGGCTTTGGTATATGACTATAGGTCACCCGCCAGCGTAGTACGAATAGGCCACGAATGTGCTGGAGACTTGTGAAAGTTATTACAGGAACTGCAAGTGCAAAGAGAAGCACACTCCGAGCGGGAACAAAACACTGCGATCACGGGGGCTTGTTTCTGCAGAACATCCACCATCCACCTGACTGCATCCATTGCATTGCAGCGAGGCAAATGTGTCGCCGCAGCAGATTCCTGCCCGTCTCTGTCCTCTATTGGCTCCTCCTCGAGAACCTGTTTGCCCTGCCACGCCGGGGAGAAGGAGCCTCGCCACCATTTTGATTGCTCCTCTCAGCCCCGGCATTGTCGCAGCACAGTGTGTCAAGCTCACAGTCTCCTTGTCAGCAAGATTTCACACAGCGGCCAGGGGAACTGCAGAGCGTAGCACAACCTCACACACTCCCTCTCTCTCCTTCTCTGTCACACACACACACACACACAGAACGTCTACCCACACACAGACAAACACACTACAGCTTTCAAGCCCCCCACCCCCACACTCTCCTGCCAGGCTGGTCAACAGACACCTTTTGGATATAATGTGTGAAAAGTCACCCAAGGCTTGCAGAGCGAACGCGGAGCGCATTGCAACCGAGAGGCTGTTAATAAATGACCAACAACCTCAATCGCAAGTCTAAAATAAGTTTTCCAAAAGGACCCAGAATCTCAAATAAGTCCCAAATAAGTCTGTAGAGCCTTACAGTAACGTGCACAGTGGAGGCTCCTGCTTCCTTTGCAAATTATGGGGAAGCCATAAGGGAGCAAAATTTAAAGCACATTCATGACAGTATCTGAACCCTCGTCTGACCAGAGCACGGAGTAAAAAAAGAAGAAGAAGAAAAAAGAATCTTCTTGAGAACTTCCTTTAAGAAACTGTTTGCGACAGTCATTACTTCACCCTCACACACTCAACCAGAAGAGAGAGAAGAGAGCGAGAGAGCATGTGTGAGTGTGTGTGTTGACTCCACTTTTTGTTGAACATTAACTACTTGCATGGTCAAAACACTGCATTATTGAGCCTTAGGATTCCTGTCTCATCCATGTGCTCCCCCCCAGCCAATCACAAGCGCACACTTTCCAGAAGCCTCAGCAGTACATCTCTAGCAAAAATAAAGAAATATTTGAAAAGCAAGTTTTTCAAATCAAGATGACTTAAACAAGCAAGCCAGGGGTTAAAAATGAAGAAGTTAACCTCGAAAGGCCCCCCACACACACAAACACACACACTGGAGGATCTAACCTCACTTTTTAGAGTTCTTCTGCTTCCTCTTAGACTAAAACTTCCGAGCTGAAAACGAAGCAGAAGAGGAGGAAGAAGAGGATGTGGCCGAGCCTTTCTTTTTTTTAACCCCCCCTTCTCTCTCTTTCTTTCTTTTTCTAAACACAACCTTTGTTCTGGCGTGAGGGGGGGAGGTGGGGGGGGAGATCCTGCCTATCTGACTCCAGGGCTCTCCTTGGATACTCATCTGCCTTCCTCCATTTTATGGTGAAGCCCTCACTAGTGTGACATACCTGACTTGAGACCAGTGACAGCAAATAGACATCCAAAACAGTGCAAGGGCACATGCGGGTTAACAGTGTAGCAAGAAGCACCCAAGAAGAAAAGCAAAAGAAGGACCAAAAAAACCCGTTTGAATTAAAAAAAAAAAAAAAAAAAACATCTAAAAAGAAAGAGCAGAAGAAGAAGCCACACTGCGCTTTTAAATTGATTTCACGACCAGCAAGACGTGTAGTAGCTCCAGCACTGTGGACTCAAAAATCGCCACCACGTTAAGGTTTCCTTTTTAAAAATTGAGAGAAGCAAGGGGAGGTGGAGAGCGCATATAGCCTCCACACAGTGGACATGGCTTTTCATGGTGTGTGTGTGTGTGAGAGACTGGACCAGCGGCTATGCCAGCTCCACTGTGTCGCTAATGGAGGCTGGTTGGTAAAGGAGAGCAATCCGTGCAATGGCTTCTCCATGAAGCTAACGCGCAACAACACGCACGGTCGAAGAGAGGGGGGGGTGCACAGCCGGGGCCAATAATTCCCCTGACCAGACATGTCAGAATAACAAAACACTGGCGCTCCGGTGCTGCCGAAACACGCAGGCGAGCCTCTTTACACCGCCGCGTCCATTTCCTTGTGTCACTTTGACAACAAACCGAAAGGCGACATAGCGAGGAAGCGCTAGGCTGGTTAGGATATTAACTGGGAAGCGAGAAGACCCACTTGACTTTGGCTGCACGGGTGCCAGCAAGAGCGACCACCCGATTAAAAAAGAGAGAGAGAGGAGAAAATCTCGCCCCGACTTCCTTCTCAGTGGTAGCATGGACCTCGACTACAAAAAAAAAGGGGGAGAAACGAGGGGAGATCAGCTCTTTCCAGGTCATTCACGAGGCGCTCTCCAAATTATATCCCATGATCTACCATACCGACGTTCTCGCAGACCTTGAAAGCTCAGCCGAAATCTTGACGAAACTGGAAATATAGAGCAAGAGCACACACACAAAAAACTCACTGGTACAATCTTCTCCTCAAGCGATCCTCCCAAAAGTTGTCCTCCGTATTTCATGCGTGCGCTCGGTCGGTCTAGTGGATGATCGCCATCTTTCCTGCTTCTCCTTTGCTGCAGCTGCAGATGACCTGAGATCCGTCTGTCTCTGAATAATGAGCAACCACACAGACAAGGAAGACAATCTGCAAAGCAGGCTACACAAAGAAGTTTGGGAGACTAGCAAGCACCAGAGGGTGCACAAGAGTTTACGATGAGACGAGGGAGCATCAGCAGGATGGACAACGTCTGTGCCTGAGAAGCTCATCCTTCATCTAGACTGAAGTCAGATAGTCTGCAAAGCCTTATCAAGCGACGCAGACCACCACCAGATACATGCGGCCACCGTCAATTTTATATAGGGTTGCATACCATGTCTGCAACGTCATGAGGTTATCTGCAGTTCACTTTGGTGGTGATGCTGCTTCCCAAGTCAACCAAACACACAGATAGACACATAGATACACAGATTCACTATACACACCCCGATATTAAAAGATAAATATAATTTAAACTGTATATTTTTACACATCCCAATATATATAAAATATAGAATCTAAAAAAATCTCCCAGTGACTGACAAACAAAAGGTTTATTGTTTTCATCCAAATAATAAAAAATCAAGAATTCAAAGTATTCTATTTAAATTAAATTAAACAATTAATTATATATAATTCTATATATGTATATTAGATTTAATATTTTTTAATATATATATTTTATGCTTGATTGATAGTCAGAAAAAAAAATAGGTAAATGGCTGATGAGATGCAGTTTTCTGTCACTTCCCTGTTACTGTAGACATGCGGCATGCAGACTGCTGCTGCTGTGTCCACCAGCCACTAACAAAGGAGGGAGCCCAAGACAAAAGGTGCTGGGTCCTGCTCAGATGTATGGCAGTGTAAACGGTGGGTGGGTGGGTGAGTGGGTGGGGGTTTGAGCGGCAGGAAGGGCACGCATGGGTGGGTGGGTAGTGAGAAGAAGAGTCTACCTTGAGTGGTTGAGTAACTACAATGTGAGCGGGGAAATGTGTCTCCCTCCATGACTTTTTGTTGGGAAGAAGTGTATATTTTTACCTGTTATGTATGGGCTTTCTTTTAAATCGATGCTGTTTACATTATATCTCTGCACAATATTTCTGATATGGCAACAGCTTATTGTCACACACTGCATGTCTGAATATTTAAAAGCTTTGTATGATGTCAGGCACTTTGATTTTTCACATAAATGCAGTTGCAGCTGCAGAATTGGGCTGAAGTTGCAAGTATTTGCTTTAAAGCAAGCGTCTTTTGTCATTGGTAGTTTTTACTTATCAGTTAACCTAAAATGAAATGAAATCATTTTTTAAAAACTTTATTAAAAATGGAGATCTGTGTTTGGTTCGGCAGCAGTTAGGTGGCTCTGTGTATCTTGGAGACCTTGTTGTGGTTCTTCAGTGGATTTAGGCTGTCTCGTTTGCTTCTGTTTTTTCATGTAATCCCAGTCTGATTCCATGTTGTTGATATCAGGACCCTGGGGGGGAGAGGGGGCAGGGTAGGGGGTAATACCATCTGTTTCTGGACTCTTTGTTCTTCTTGTTGTTGAAGATCTTTGGTGCAAGCACTGTGTGTAAGCCATGCAATATACAAACCACCCAATAAAACTCAATTTCCTTTCATTGCATCTACTTGACTACACTTGCATATGTGTAAATGGTGGTAAAACGTGCTTATTAATACTGTACAGTATATGTAATAGTTGCGCTATGTTCATCTAAAGGCCGATGTGATTACTCTTTAATACTCACGCAGAGTAATTACTTCACTCTACATGATGTGCACAAGGAGATTGGTTGTTTGTTGTTTTGTCTTTTCAAGACAGAAGACAGAAAAGCCCGTCTGCCCTGATTGTTCAAACAAAGATCTGAGATGTTCTGTGTGCTTCAAGGTTTTATTCATTAAGCAAAAAAAAAAAAAGGGGGGGGGGAGAAGTAGTTTGGATTCCAGAAACTTTTCCTTTCCTGTGACATTCAAACCCACAAAAAACCTCAGCCACAAATCTTGTGAGCATGCTCACTGGTGATTGTTGCCTGATTTACAGGCAGAGACACAGAGAGGAATTAAATTTGTGTAAGATACAGACGTAGTTAATCATGTTTGACAAGTGTTGATGTTGCCTCTTGCGAGGTTCGGTTATGAATTATGGATTGTGGAATGCATTTTTTTTTTGTCTTGAATTTAATAGAAAGCTTGGGTTAGCAAATTATATTCAGTCACTCTTTCTATCACCATCGCCGCTGCTCGTGTCAGCAGAGCTAATGCTCGAGTAGATTCTCCGCAACACTACTAAGCAGTGTGATACAAGTGGTGTCTAAAATGTGACACCTTGTGAGCTGAGTCATGTGCAAATATGAAATGTATACAGTGCTTATAAGCATAAGGTGACAGATGGAAACAGGACTCGGCCTTTGTTAATGCACTTCCATTGTGCCAGTTCTTCTGTCGCCGTGACGTACATAGCCCCATGTATTTCCCAAACACTGTGGCAAATGATCATTTGGCCCAAAAGTGACTTCCCCCTCCTTCAGGGTTATTGCTCATAACCTGTGTTATATATTTTCTTTTTAAGTCAGAGCATCTCAAAGAAAAAGAAACACACACACAAACAGAAAAGGCCTAAGATATTCATGCCAAGCATTTTTGATGTCTCAACAGATCTTTGAAGGAATGTCTCTGGAGTAAAAGACTTGTGAAATATACACACCTGCACAGACGTACACACACTCTGTTGACAGTGAGTCCTTTGGGTGCCAGGTAGCAGCCGGGGTTTATCACGCTGCTTGGACATATGGCTGCTGCGGCAAATCTGATTAATATGGGATGGCCAGGAGACCAGCGTGCAGCGTGGGACAGACTGCGCCAGGACATCCCCACTGGTCCGGCCTCCCCCTCACACCGTGCCAGGCCTCCACCCGGCGCAGCTAAAAACAGACCCGTCGTCAGGGATTCAGATGGTCTGAGCAGTGGGAGAGCGGGAGCAGAGGAGGTGTTGTACAGATTTAGAAGGTGACCGATGACTTTTTGGATACGCTTACATCAGCGTGCCACCATTTCAGTGTAAATATTTACTGCTAATTAAAAACGAGGGTCTTCAGTTAATTCAGTCAATTATTTCTTAAGAGTTTTGCAAATAAAAAGAATCAGTTTAACAGATATTTTGTGTTGTATATGTTCTTAAATGCTTTTCGGAGTCTTTTGGAACTCAGAAACACTTAAATTGAGTCCTACAGCATTTGGGTCAGCAAAAGTTGCTAGATATGTGACCACACATAGACAGAGGTGATACAAGCGGATTAAATGATTGCTGCTGTTACGGGACTTTTCATGGACATCTACCTTCAGCTACAGGTCTAAACATGCTGCCTGTGTCCTCTTAAATTCTCATTTCCCCCCCCTTTCACAGCATAACAGCACACGTACGTTCACAATGAGCACAACAAAGTGCACACGAACTGTTTGTGCCAGTTCTGTCGTGACGTAATTTTCTTGTAATCAAGCAGGCAATGAAATAATTATTTCAGTTGTCGGACAGATTTTTAAATATGTACTCCGTTTAAATGTACGAGATTATGATGAAAGAAAAAGAAACTCATACAGTTTCTTTCTGTATGTATTTCCCAGAATAACTTCTTTTAAACTGTCATTGCATTTTTGATATATCTCTTAAATTACAAAACACACCATTACAATGTGTATAAAGTGGAAATAAATCCACTAACTGCTGCCTGCAAGGACCTTTAGACAGAGATGTTACATTCAGCAAATTACCACGGCTTAGGCCTAAATGGATAAATGATCCTGAATTATTAATGCTTGAACTACTATTTTATATAGTTAAGCCCTTTAACTGTCTTTATATGTCTTTTAAGGATTACTAGAAACTGTTGCACTCCTCCACTTTTTTGTGAATGTTTAACTTTCTTCCAGAAGCCTGA